GCCCCGCGGGGCTGGGCCCGGTGTCCAGCGGCTGGGGGGCCCCCCCTGGGAACCGTACGCGGGGTGGGACGTGTGGATGAGATGGGCAGCTGGGAGGCGCTTTAGGAGGCGCTTTAGGAGGCCCAGGAGCATCCCCAGGCGGCAGGGTGCACGGCATGGGCCGGGCCTCGCTCACCTCGTGTTGCAGGCCTGCGCAAGGTGATGCTGCGGGCGCACCGCCAGGCCTGGTGCTGGCAGGACGAGTGGACGGAGCTCACCATGGAGGACATCCGGCAGCTGGAGGAGGAGACGGCCCGCATGCTGGCACAGAAGATGGCCAAGTGCAGCGAGGCCGAGGAGGCCCCCGCTGCCGGCGCCAGCGCCGAGGGCCACCTGGAGCTGGGCGATGCCAATGGGCAGGACAGCGCTGAGCCCCAGGGGGCATCCGATGCCTCCCCCGATGATACCTTTGCCAAGCAGTGGTCCACGTCTTCCCGGTCATCCTACTCTTCCCAGCATGGAGGTGAGAGGCCTGGCTGGGAAGAGGGATTCTCTGTGACGTGGGGTCTAGAAGATGGGATCCCCTCAGGAGGGGGTGCTGTAGCCCGGAGGGGAACCTGTTTTTCCAACCTGGACCTCCCAGTGGATGGTTCTGGGCACAAGAGCTGCTGCGGGGCTTGGGGCAGCAGGATGTGTAGGTCCCACAGAGCAGAGTGATTCTGCGAAGGGAGCGCTGGGCCCTGACGCCTTATGTGGGGCAGGGGGGGTGTCTCCTCAGAGCCTGTCCGAGTGGCGCATGCAGAACATCGCCCGCGACTCCGAGAACAGCTCCGAGGAGGAGTTCTTCGACGCCCACGGTACAGCAGACACGTTGGGACATGTGTGGTTTTGGTGGTCGAGACCCCTGGGCACGGGTGGAGACGGAGTTCTTGCTGCAGGCCCTTTGCCTGTGCTCTGGGCGGGCTGGAATCTGACGCTCCCGGCAAGGATTCCAGGATGGGATCTCATGGCCGGAGAAAGGTGTGGGTGCTCCTGCTGACGGCGCTGTCCTTGCTACCGCAGAGGACCTGTCCGACAGCGACGAGGTCTTTGCGAAGGAGATGACCAAGTGGAGCTCAAACGACTTCCTGGACACGCTGGAGCGGCCGGTGGAGCTGGACGAAGTGCTGGGTGAGCCTGGGGCAGCTGTGAGCCCCATGTGATGGGGGGTGAAGGCACCGCCGAGGCCTGGCACGCATGTCCCAGGACAGCAGCCGGATCCTTCTTTAGAAATGCCACGTAGGCTCATGCCAGGCCTGTCTTTGCAGGGGATGGAGCCGGCGGTGCCAAGGCTGATGGCGAAGGACTAGCGGGGCCCGGCATGCCGGAGGTGGGTGCCCTCCCTGCCCCCCGGGACGGGGAAACGCAGCCGTGCCCTCCGTGGCATGGATGCCCCCACGGGGCTGGTGGCAGCGCTCTCCTTCCCACAGGGTGGCTCGGCGGACAGCACGGCGCAGGCGTGTCGGATCCACGTGCTTTTCCTCATCCTCCACAGCGGGAACATCCTGGACCAGGGGGTGGGCGAGCCGGGCTCCAAGCAGGCCGACGTGCAGACGCTGGCTGCCACTTTCGATGCCGTCACCCGTGGCCACTTCCCGGAGGCTCTGGGGCACGTGGCGCTGCGCCTGGTGCCCTGCCCGCCCATCTGTGCTGCTGCCTACGCTCTCGTCTCCAAGTAAGCCCGGCTGGAGGCGTGGGGGGCTGTGCTTGGGGTGACCTCTCTGCTATGGGCAGGTGAGGACGCTGTTTTCCCTGGCAAAAGGGCAAATGGCGATTGGGAAGGGGACGGCTGTGGAGAGAGGAGTCTCCTCCTCCTGGTGCAGCACCCATGGGTGCGAAGGGAAGTACGACGGGGCAGGGGCAGCCCAGCTTACTCTCTCCCGTGTCCCTCAGGCTCAGCCCGTACAGCCATGACAGGGACAGCCTGTCCAGCAGCCAGGACCACATCCCGCTGGCAGCCCTCCCGCTCCTGGCCACGTCCTCGGGGAGCTACCAGCACGCGGTGGGCACTGTCATCACCCGGGCCAACCAGGCCTACGGTGCCTTCCTGCACTCCGGCGAGGGCACCGGCTTCTGTGGCCAGGTGAGAGGTGCCAGAGGTTCTGGCCAAATGGGTGCTTCATCTGCAAGTCGCTGGAGGCTGGGGGAGGATTTGGGGAAAATGCTGCTCCTTCCCAGGCATCTGTTGCTGGAGCCTGGCTCTGAGTCCGAGTGTTTTTTTCCAGTGTCCAAAGGGCAGAGGGGTTGGGGGCTTGGAGGCTCTCTTCCCCCTTACTCCTTGGCATGGGTCTGGACTGTCCTGCAGGTGGTGCTGATCGGTGACTGCGTGGGAGGCATCCTGGGCTTCGATGCGCTGTGCCAAAGCCGAGCGGGTTCGGGGGGCAGCCGGAGCAGCAGCCGCCGGGGCAGCCTCGTGAGTGCCCGTGATGCCCTGGGCGCCATACCTGGCTCCCTGCTAGAGCCTGTGTCCTCCTGCCTGCATCCCGATGCGTTTGGGAGCGCGGGGAGGGCGGGAAAGGGGTTTGCACCTATGGGTGCCTCTGTAGCCAGGCGCTCATTGCCTTTCCTCTTCCAGAGCACGGAGCCCATCTCTCCTGAGCTGTGCAGTGGGAGAGACCCGCTGGCCGAAGGGACAGATGGAGCAGGAGGATCGGTCCAGGTCAGTCCCGAGCCAGGGGCGCAGCTGCCCTGCCGGGAGCCTGGGGACAACCAGCACCACAGCTCCTTGGGCAGGTGAGAGCACCGTGAGCGCTGCGAGGGCTGGGGTGCAGCGGGGAAGCACCAGATGTGCCACCACGGGTGGACGGGGCACGTGCTTGTGGCCCTTTTGGAAGGAGACACATTTTTGTGACATATTTTGTGTCTTATGTCGGGGGTGACTGGGAAATTTGCCCTTGGCAGCCTCCTGGGGGATCCAGGGTGGGAAGGGGCTTTGCATGGGTGCGATTTGGAGCTCTCCTGCTGCCAGGACCCGACGGCTTTGCCTGGCCGGCAGCGCGGTGGCTCCTAGGTGGGTGGGAGCAGGAGTCGCTGTGGCCAGGAAGGCCCCGTGTCACCCTGCTCCGTTCCCCAGCCTGCAGGCCAGCGAGCCCCCGCCGGAGGCGGAGGCACCACGAGGCGGTAGCTCGGCGCTGGATGGGGCTGAGGGCACCAGCGCCCGTCTCGACTTTAAGGTATCCGGCTTCTTCCTCTTTGGCTCTCCACTGGGGCTGGTGCTAGCGCTGCGCAAGACCGTCATGCCTGCTCTGGATGGTGAGGAACCCCGTGAGCTGTGAGGCCTCGTGGCGCAGCCCCTGGACCCTCCCTGCTCTGTCATCCCCTGTCGCTGGGGTCGCAAGGCTGGACTCGACCCCTTGTGCCTGCTGAGAAACGGGTCATGCTCCCCTGGGGCCTCCCCACGCAACCTTGCTTGGGTTTGCACCTCTTCAGGCCAAGCCCTCTCTGTGCCGCCCTCGATGTTTGCATGTACCTGAGCATCCCCTGTCCTGGGCTGACCTAAGCCTAGCCTTGTGGCCCAGGCTGTGGGACGTGTTCCTTGGTCGGGCCAAAGAGCCTCGGCTAGTGTCTGGGGCTTGGCTCTCCCAGCACACAGCTGGATGCAGCCTCTCCAGGGCTGATGGACCGACTTTCCTCTAGGCTTAGCCTTTCCCCCAGGCCTGGCCTTTCCCCGTGCTTCGTGAGGGCCTGAATGCACCATGAGCTCCTTTGCCCTTGCCTGCCGCAGGCCTCTCCTTCCCGCCTGTGCCCCGGGGCTCCCCTGTCACCCTGGGGCTCCTCGTCACCAGCCACGCGGGCCGGGTGGCCTCGGGAGCACCGACACCTTCTCTTTGCTGCCAGTGGCCCAGCTGCGTCCCGCCTGTGAGCAGATCTACAACCTCTTCCACGCGGCCGACCCCTGCGCCTCTCGCCTGGAGCCCCTCTTGGCCAAGGCCTTCCACGCCGTGCCGCCTCTCAGCGTGCCCCGCTACCAGAAGTACCCGCTGGGAGATGGCACCTCCTCACTGCTGGGTGAGCGCCCGTGGCTGGAAAGGGGCAGAGGTGACTGGTGACCTCCGCAGGCCCCTTGGGTGCCCCACACTGAAGTTACAGTGGGGTTTTCCACACATTTGGGCATGCGGAGCCTCTCTGGCTTGTGGAGGTTGGTGCTGATGCTGCTCCCCGGCTTCTGGGCCCTGAGAGATGCTGGGAAAGCCAAGATACATCTTGTGAGTGTGTCGGGGGAGAAGCAGAGCAGAAGGGTGCCCACAGCAGTAGCCACAACATGGCTGGGCATCCCCAAAGGGGCTTTGGGACCCCATGCAGGTCCCAGTGCTTCGACCTCACCCCACTCTCTCCGTGGCTCTGCAGCAGAGGCCTTGCAGACGCACTCCACCCTCTTCCTGGCCGAGGTGGATGTTGCTGTCCCTAGCACCCCCACCAGCAGTTTCGGGGGCTTCTGGAGAGGCAACGAGACGGGCGAGCCTCCCACACCTGCCAGCACCAGTGAAGTTGTCAAGAGTAAGTGCTCCTGGCCTGGGTTGTCTGTGGCACGATGGGCTTGGGCATAAGAGCTGGGGCCAGGGCAAGACAAGAGGTCCTGAGATGTGACGCAGAGCAGGAACCGGGCTCAGCATGGATGGGTTATGGAGCAGGGTACAGGCCGGCTCCATCCCGAGATGAACTCATACAAGCTTACGCCACTCTCCCTGCAGTCCTGGAGCGCTGGTGGGGCCCGAAGCGCATCGACTACTCGCTGTACTGCCCCGACGCGCTGACCGCCTTCCCCACCATCACGCTGCCTCACCTCTTCCACGCCAGCTACTGGGAGTCCTCCGACGTGGTGGCCTTCATCCTGCGGCAGGTACGGGGACGGCCGCGGGTCTGCGGCCCGCCCCGGGGAGGCTGAGCTGAGGCCGCTCTGCAGGTGATGGAGAAGGAGGGGCCGCAGCCGACGGAGAGCGAGGAGAGCTCTATCTACAGCCCCGCGATCCCCCGGGAGAAGTGGCAACGCAAGCGCACCCAAGTGAAGATTCGGGTATGTGCCCTCTGGGGCTGCACGTGCCTGGCTGCTGCTTTCTGTGCTGTGCCCACTTGGGATTTTTCCCTTC